GGCGTTCCCCGCCGCCCCGGGTCCCCTCAAAAAGAGCTTTAGCACCAGCAAAAATAAAGTTCCTGCCCACGGACAAAACGATTTCCCCACCCGCGGCCATAAAACTGCTGTGGGATGCCAAGCTGGGCTGAGGAGTGGCTCCTTCCAGGTGTCGGTCCTCCCCTGAGCGGCAGCGCCTGCCCTGCAGCCCGTGGGCCTGGGGCAAACCGCTACTGTGGGGTAACGGCGTCTTTGGAGGGGTGTTGCTAAATATCTGTCCGTTTGCGGTCCTTTAGGCCTGAAATGGGCGGTCTGCGTTAGTTAGCTGGTGTGTAACAGGTGGAACTGGTGAAGCAGGTGTTCCATCTAGCTCTTCATTTTTGTCTCTTATTTCCTCTCGAATTCAAATAGCAGCACTTTTCAAATACACTTAGTGACCAGACTAGATAATTTGTTTTTGTTTCGGGGTTTTTTTGGTGTTTTGGTTTTTTTTTCCTTACCTAAGAAATTGCAGATGTTGCTCTGTTTCCTCTCAGTTCTTTATTCAATGGGGCATAAGAGTTTAATGGGGCTGATGGTGGGGTAAAACTCTCGGGCTGGCAAATCGCCCTGTGAAGTGTGTGGCACCCGTACTCGCCGCCTTCTCACCGACTGCTTTGCAGAAGAGGAGACTTTTAAGGGATGCGCTGTCTGTATTTTAAGTGAGAAATTATTGAGAATGGAGAAATTAAGGCCTTTTAAATATTTAATGGATGGAGGTTTTCTAAATTATTTAATAGCTTATTATAAAAGATGGCATAAAATGGTTTAGTAATTTATTCTTTACAGAAAGTAGCTGTAAGAAGTATTTTACAACATGTAAATATTGGTAGGAAAAGTACCTAATTTAAAATGCTATCTTATTCCATCTGTCAAAGGAATTATACAGTGCCCATACAATTTTCAAATAACTTTAGACCTTTATTGTTTCGGTTCTTGAAATGCTTCTCTTGCATAGGGAAATGCTATTCATACCCATTTTACTGGAGTGCAGGGGCACAGAGAACAGAGTCTATTGGGCTGAAGTGCAGCAGATCTGACCATTGCAATTCCCTTCAGATACCAGAACCCACAGTTTAATGTGGGCTCGTGGATACCCTAAATACTGACATGGGAGGGTTCTGTGGCCTGAAGCGAGGTCCGAGGTGACTAAGGTGCAAAGCAGGAGTTGTTCATGGCCAGCCCATGTGTAAATACAGAGAGCGGAGCCCTTCCCCTCTTCCCCTTCCTCCTTTTCTTTTCTATAGCTTTGCTATAATGTGAAGTGGAGGTTCAGTTGCCTCCTGCCTAGAGCTTGTTGTATAAAAATGCCCCTTTCTTCGTAAGATTGCTTTCCTTGAGTAACTTCTATTCAAATCCCTCTTGTGTAAATTAACCCTACTGCACTGAAGTCGAGGACTTCATCCACAAAATTCCAGCTGTTGTCAGACATATTGTCACCTCTCGGGAGGTGCCGCTGATTTTTATTTTGTTCAAAGCGGCGCTCAGTTGGCTCTCACAGATGGCTGGTGCCCGCTTGTGGGAGCAGCTGCCCTCACAGGCCATGCTGCCCCAGCAGAGCTCCTGGTGCAGGAGGTCAGGAGTGATTCGCTTGTTTGTGCAGCTCTGCTTTCCAAAGTAATGCTGCGCCCTGAGACGAGGCGGGGAGCAGCAGCAAAACCACCCATCACAAAATAAGCACAAAACACGATTTTGCCATAAGAAACCTGGAATTCCTTTTACCGTTATTAACAAGGTGAGCCTCTTGCTTCTGTTCTGATCAGCCTCCTTTATTGACATAAACCAGCTGAATCTCAGACTGAAGATTGCATTTTAGAAGTTTGCCTTACACTCCCCTCAACCCTATTTTCTTATGAAATATCACTGCCTGGAAGGCATCAGAAAACCCCAAGATATGCTGGTGGCTGTATCATCTGCTGCTTTTGCTATATCCATTTAATTGGAATGAGTTAGAATAATCAATACTTCTTTGTCTTTTACCAGTGTTTAATGTGTGTTTACAGAACAGGTTTCACTAAAGTTACTATTTAGCTGTAGATGCATCTGCACAGATTTTTTTTTTCCTCTCTAATAAAAATTATGGAACAGATAAGCACTAAAACCCAAGTTAGTACATTGCAATATTGATTTCTACAAGAGCACTGTAAGAATATATTTCTCTATCTGTCCTACTATGAAATGGGTAAAAATGTACCACATAACCATTTCAGCCATTCAATATTATATTGGAAAGCCTGTTTTTTTGCTTTTTCTCAATAGGCCTTTTGAAGCACGCTGATTTTTTTTTTTTTTTTTAATGTGCATTTATGGAAGAAAGGATTAATACAGGATGGTAGTGCTTTGTCTTAAGACATCTCTTTGCCCACATTTTGTTTTGCTTAGAACTGCTGTGTTGTGATTTTTGTCTCACATTAGAAAGTGAAGACAGAGTAAAATGTGATTAATTATAGATTGCTGGCCTGGTACCTCTTTAATTCCAGTGATTACTCTATTTTCTCCTGGTGTTCTGAACAGAAAGGAACTGAGTGTTTCAAGCCAGAGGCTTTCCGGTCCTAAGCTTCTGAAAGGTGTCTGCCTGTGTGCTTTTATGACCCCAGAGATCCTTTGCCCTCCAATGTGGTAGTGTAATTTTGTTTTTTTTTTAAAGCAAATATCTAATTGATCAAAAGAAAAGTGAAATGGAGTGGTGGGAGAAGATGAGAAAAGGTTATTGTGCTCACTCCGTAGGTGAAGATCACATTATTATTACTCTCACAAATTGCACTGTGTTGTGTTTTCAATAGCAGAAGGTCAAGTTGAGCCTAGGGATAGAAGTGAGAGAACAAACATAAACAATAAAACTAAAGAGACTTGAATGTCTATGAAATGGAGTGTTTGAGCTCATTATTCTGTGGAACGTGTGTCAGTACTGCTGCAAAAGTGTCTCTATATAGTGATTTCAAAGTGTAGCTTCTGGGCTGGGTGTGAGATGTGATGCTGGGAGCAAGGAGAGACAGAAGTGTCAGAGGGTGCTGTAATGCATTGATTGCACAGACACGATCCTGTGGATGCAACCCTATAGACCCTCTGCTCCTGAGGCAGCCACACTCCAAGGGCCTTGGCCAAATCTTTTGAAGACAAAGATTTTCCACCTTTCTTTAATAATGTCTGGTTCAAACTGTTGGAGGTTTCAGGTAATCATGTGGAAATCTGTTTGCACTATGGTGGAGTCTTAGCCCTTACAGCTTTCACAGTGGTTGGGTGACAGGGTTGTAAGGACGTAGTGACCTGCGCACATTATGTTTGTAATTTCTAGTATAGCGAACTCTGCATTTAGTTGATGTAGTGATATTTCAGAGCTGCATCATCACAGTTTGTCTGTGTTCTTGGAAATAAGTGAAAAGAGCAATATGACTGCTGTCTTTTGCCTTGGATTGCACTGTAGATGGCACTGTGAAACAATGTTTTTGGTAATGAAGATCTATTTCACAGCACCATTCCAGACGTTAATTGCAGTGTAATATGGCTTTCTTTCTAGGTCCCCAAAGTGAAGGAAAAATTCTGAAATGCAGAAAGGCTTATTTGCTGCCGCAAATGGGAATCTGGAATAACTATGAAAAACACACTGAAATAATTGTGTTTGACTGGAACAAAATTCTTGCAAAGTCCCCAAGGTAAGAGCACTTTTTATCTTTCAAATGACACTGAAGATTTGCTGTTCTGGTTAGCAACAATATCCACTTGAATCCAACAGAGAATGAAGGCTTGACATTTCTGAAAGCAGCAGCACACTGACACTGAAGGGCTCAGCACCCCTTGCTGCATCTGTCTGCCAAATTTAATTTTTTCCCTGCCTTTTTAAAGATCCCCTTGTATTTATATTAGTGGGCTGAAGACCTGTGTCCTGTCTACCTGCAAGGCAGACTAAAGTCTGCAAATGTTGTATCATTTTAATAGCACTGGATGCTTTTAGCAGCCTTTCAGTTTGGACATAACTAAGTTGATGCTGTGTAGTGATACACTTATTCCTGGACTTGAATATACTTACAAAGGGGTAGGGTTACCCTGTTAACCTGATGAAACCTGGTTTCACATTCCCTGTCTAACATCAGGCTTCAAAACAATCAAACTCATAATCTGGGAAAGTTTTGAAATTAGGTAAGCACACAACCACTTCCACTGAGACCAGCTTTGTTCCTGCACTGGGAATGGTGGGAACACCTGGGTTCATTTACGTGCTGGAATAGCAGCTGTTGAGCAGGCAGTGCATGATTTGGGACTAAAGACCTCTACCTTCCATCAACTCACACCAGAAAGGGCATGCTTAAAATGTCTGATCTGTAGTATTTGATTCCAAGGGTTAAATCCTGCTTTCAGTCACACCTCAGGAAACCTGAAGGAGGGTCTCTGTCTTCATTATGATACTACAGAGTGACACCAGAGCTGGGGTCTCCATTGATACTTTGATCAGATTCCTGTGTTTGTATTTAGAGCAACAGAGGGATGGTATTGCAAGACGAGCAGATGATGACTTCCTCTTTAGTGGTAACTGGTGGATGAAGTGTAAACTCTGTATTTCTCATTGCAAGAGCAAGAAAACTAAGATTAAATTCAGCTCTCTCCTCAAGAAAATGACGTTCAGTTACCTGGGGAAGACTTAGGTGACTAAAATCTGAAATGGTAGGTTGATTTCACAGCCTACTGGACAGTTTCCTTAGGCTAATATTGGATCAACAGCAATAATAACATTTATGCTGGTTTCACAGTGACTCAATCCCATTAGCTGCAGTAGCATTATGTGGTTCAGCTGGGTGCAAGAGGTGAATTAGGTCCATGCTTATTAGCTGAAGTGTAGCTGCTCTGAATTAGCCTGGGAGTGCTCCATAAGAGGATGCTTGTAGGGTAGGCAAGGACCAGTGATGTCTTTATCTTCTGGGCTTGATTCACGCTTGCAGAAGACTCCTTGATACTGCTGCAAAAGAACCTCAGTGTGTTTCTTCCTGTACTGGTTCATTTGCATTCTGGGTGGCAACGTATTGGGCTCAAAACAGAGCACCTTCTTAACGCAAGGAAAGGTACCTTTTTGCCAAGTCAGTCCTTAAAATGTGGCTTATTTAAATGTTTTTATTTTTTTTTTCCTTAAATCTGTAGACATGGTGCATTATTTTTTAGAAGTATTTGTGTAGCTTTTTAAAGTGTTTGTAGGCTGGACTAAAGTCTACAAGGACAGCTGAAGGTGCTGGTTTTTTCACCAATGTATTTTTTTTTTTCTAAAGTGTAAAATGATGTTTGCTAAACTGTATTTACATACAACAGGCTTTTGGTGTCTTAACTTTTGATATTAATAAGGCCATTTGTAATTTGTTTGAGCTTTATCAACATTCCCATTCATACACAATGGAAGAATGAAATTATTTTGTGATGTGTGAAAGGAAAAAATATGCAAGTACTTTTAAATGAGAGAATGTGGGATCTGTTTTGGTTTCATTTGTAGATGGTTATCAAATTTAAAACAGAAGTGCTTCACCTGGCTTTGACAGTAGAGCTGTCTAAGGCATGAGGTTTGTTTTTTAAACTATCAGTCTATTCAGTACTTGAATATTGGATTAGCTGAACAGTCTCAGTTATTTTAAAAATATACAGATAAACAAATTATTTAGAAAATACTTGGAAGGATCAGAATTGGAATCTGCAGGGGAAAGAAGTTCACAAAGGACTTTTTGGTACAAATAAGCATGCTTATGACAGGCTTGCCCAAATCCCAGCATGCTGATTAACTGTAGACTAACGTCACTGCTATGAAGGCAGTATTTAGTTCAATTTATGCAAATCTATAAATTGCCTCTAATTAATTTGATGTATGCCTGCTTACAGCATTTGCTGGAAGTGTGGAACATATCTAAGGGTTCAAGTGCATAATGCCCATTTATGTATCACATGAGTAATAAATCATCATAACTGAGTTTAAGAAAATTATTAGATTACCTTTCTATATGATGAATGGCATAACATAAACTATTGAGGGATTTAATTGTAGATATTCACAGCAAAATTACTGAGGATTTGTGGTCTTATTTCTAACACTAACATGAATAAGACTAACAACATCCACCTTCTTTAGAACAAGCATGTTGTGAAATGCAGTTTCTCATACCCTGGCAGAGCAGTCAGTCCTCGCATGTTTGACTGAGGTGCTGGTTTCATGAGGGTTCAACCCTCAGCAAATTTATTGATCTCCAGGAAGGCTAACAGATGTTGTGTCCTTGGGAGATCCAGCCAATTCACGTGCATGGTTACATGGGAGTTGGTAGCTTTAGCAAATATGTCCTGAGAAGTTTTAAGAAAAAAAGACTTTTTTCTGTGATGTTTCCATGATTTTGAGGCAGGTGCAGTTTAAAACCAGCAGCACGACTTATAAATGTGTAGATTTAAATTTGAGTGTGGATGGATCTTAATCCAAAAAAAACCCCCAAACCAACCTCTTGTCTCAGATTCATGGAAATGTATGGCACTGATAATGTGTTATTATAAATATGTGTTTGTGGGTAATATGATGCATGATAGCCATTGCATTGTTTCTAATTATAGAACATGCTTAACAAAGAATTGATCCCAACCAAACCACAAATATGATTTTTGTCTGTGTTGCCTTGTAATAAGCCATATCAGTTATTCTTCAGCATCTTTTCAGCTTTTCCTTCCCCACATAATTTTTATGTTTATTCCCTATGCACATTGTTCTTTTGCTCACCTGTTTCCTTTTCTGCCTCCAGGATGAGATTCTGTGCCAAATCAATGCTTCTATCTGACTGGCTCTTTCTGGTCTATGTGTTAATGGTCTGCTGTAAATTGTTGTCCGCCTCTAGCCACCATCCCCGGGGGCACACAGGTAGGAGCTTTTAAACTCATTATGTGCTACTGAGACTAATTAATACCACTTGCAGAATGTTAGAGCCCACTTTTTAGCAATGGATAATTGATGAGGCTGTTGACAGCATGTTATAATCAGTGCAATGGGTTAAAAATACAACAGCAACAAGAAAAAATGAGTTATTGTAAATTTTCATGGTTTTTCTCTAGTGATTTTATATACTGAAGCTCACCAGATAGTTTTTTGAGTGACTTTATGACATTACTTCAGGATTTGTTTGTGTCCTTTTGTTTTATCCTTATCCAAAGATACTCTGAAATGTATCATTATCTTCTCCCTCTTAATCCAGTTGTTATCAAGAGACTTTACAACGGTATCATTGGCTTTGGTGGGCAATAGATCAAAGCCCTCAGACTTATGTTAGCCAGTTCTTTCACTAACTAACACAAATACTGAACTGTGGTTTAGTTCAGCTTGTAGTATGTTCTTTCTTTTCCTAACCTGTATAGTGAGGAAAACAGAAAGATACGGCAGTTTAGAGGATGCACTATGCTAGTAGGGTATATCTATCAGGCACAATGTAGTATCTGATTGTAAATGACAGAAATACCTCAAAACAAGCTGGGTTGGTTTCATGAAAAGATGCCAGACTGGATCTTTAAAGCTACATCTTGATGCTGGGATCATGCAGACACATCAGCTTGAAAGCAGGAAGAAATACAGATATGCTAATGCAAAGATATCGTTGCAAGTCCTAGATCTGCTTAGCTGAGTTAGCCTTGTGTCACCTTTGGTATCAGGGGAGAGAGAGAGAGGAAAGTTAACAAAATATCACATGTGAGCTTTGCTTTTTAGGAGAGGTCAGAACCCTGGCTGCAACACCATGATGAGATGACTGCATTCTCAGTATGGCTTCATGCTGACTTGGAGATTTCTGCAAGTGTTGCTATTTGTGATGTAGTTTCAATCTTAAATTAGGTGTAATGCCTTAAATCCATATGTAATGTTCTTAGCTCTGAGCCAGACTCTTGTGGGTCTAGGTCTAACGTTAGCATTCACTTCAGCTCAGCGCTAGGAAGTGGGGATGCATTTGTTAGAGGCTCCATCCTTCAGATGAGACGACCTATTGATCTCTTTCCTGGCTGCTTCTGGTGAATGTCTAGGTGGGAGCTGAAGGCTCCTCATGTGCTCGCCAAAATCTCTTCAGTCCTGGCAAGCAGGTCTGACTGTGACCTGCATATAGCTGCTGCGTCTGTCTACGTGCTCACAGCGCATCAGCAGTGTGTGTATCTAAGAGCTACACAAAACACCTTCTTGCCTTTCCCCATTGTCAGCTCTGCATTCCCAGATGCTGTGGAGCACTTGTATGTGTTTGCCATAAAACGTAGTCACTGATTATGGGGAATAACTGACGTGTCACAGTAAAAGCCCATAAAGTGATTCCAGTGAATACAGTGTTAGAGGATGATAGGTATTACCATTTTGCAGGTAGCTGTTATGGAAACCAGTTGAATCAGTTCACTGAGGAAGGGGGTCTATGCACAATGACAAGTTAATTAGGCCCTCTTGACCTTTCCTGTAAACAACTGCTGCTTAGCAGAGCATTTCAGAGCTGACTATGCAGCAAAACCTGGAGAACAGCCTTCTGCAGCTTTTGTCATTTAGGGAAGAGTCTTGTAAAAAGAAATGTTATTCTTGTCTTTTAAAGATGCACTTTGCATGTGCACCTAAGAGAAATACCTGTAATAAGGCAGTAGTGATCCTGTGTTGTGGGCTTGTATGATGAATGCTCATTATGTGTTACATAAATTATGACAATCTTTTTAACATAACATTTCAGAATGCTTGAATGCATACTTTTAATTGACACCAAGAATTCCTTCTCCTGTATCAAAGAGGTACTGTGAAACACAATCAAGCTGCTCGAGTGTTAAGCAGATTTGCATACCGTCCTTTCTCTGGTAGGTTAAAGAAAAGTTCTGGTCTTCATGAATAGTTTGGTCAGATTAGAGAGCTCTTTTTCAAATAGACACTCTTGAACCTAGAGCCTTCATGTACCTTTTAGACTATGGTGTCATATTTTTGCAGAGTTTCTCTTATGTGTACACTGAAATGACCCCCATCCCACTTTATGATTCCATGAAGCAGATGAAACAGTCACCCCATTTTTTGATTCTCCAGCTCCCCGTGGCTGATGCATGGCACCATGGAGCATTTAGAGGGATTGAGGGGCTCTCCTCAAGGGGCCTGTGTTTCCAGGCCTTGTTTTATCTTTGCTGTTTGATACAACACCTAGAGCAACCTTCTATGATCAGATATGTGATGGAATCTGATATGTGAGCAAGACAACATCTTGTTCATCAGGAAAGCAAATAATTTAGAGCTTTTAGTGTAGCCTGTTTTGTAGAAAGCAAATAATTAGCCTCATTTGCTTAATACAAATTAGCTTGTTCTTAGATGGCAATTGAGATAAAATTTTTGCAGTCAATAGGCAACATTAACATTTTTTCAAAGTAAAATGTCCTGCAGCACATTAGAGGGATGAATTCGAGCTTTGAGTTTAGCAAAGTCTTTGCCCTGAGTCCCTTAGGTCAAGCAGCTGTAACCTGACAGGTGGGAAATACATGCGGTTTGTGATGCATGGGGTGCCTTGCCTGGGATACTTTAGGAGGAGCTGCTTTTTAAGAACATGCTGTGTCTGCTCCTGAAAATCAGTGTGTCAAGCTATGTGCTTGACATCAGTAGTCACTTTTGAAAAAATGCTTACTCATTAAAGCTAAGAAAGTTTATTAACCAAGAGCAGACAATAAAATTTAAGATGAAAAGTGAGGATTGACTTTTTTCTCTTTTCTTTTCAAAATATTGCTATTTTTAAGGAGCCTAATCTGGAAAAATACAATTATTGCCTTTAATCATGTTAGATGGTGCCTGAAAGAATGACATTCGACAACTGTCTCTGCAATATTCAGATAGGAACAGAGACTAGATCTTTAAGGACCCAATAACTATCCTGTTGCTGAAAAAGTGGAAGAGAATGCCATTGAGCAATCCCTTTGACAAAAAGGGACTCTTCACTGTAATAAACTGTAAGACAGAACTAGTTCTTTCTTTTGTTCTGAAAAATACTCACCACCATCAAATAACTGTTACTGGAGAAAGAGGCTGTTCATTCTAGCATGCCAATCCTGCCATTGCTTTGAAGCAGTGTGGATCTTGAGCCCAGCTTGGAGGCCGCAACCTGTTTTTCATTTGAACACTGTAATTGCTTTGACTGGCAGAGTTAACTAGGCGAAAGGTAGAGGAGAAATGTTCCTTCTCATTACCATTAGATCACTGAAGATGCTGCTTATGCAGATTATTTCAGCAGGCTCCCTGTACATCTATGTAGAGAAGACACTTCAGAATATTTGTCTGACTTTGTTGCTCTGAATTATCCTTCTGAAGAGTTTGTCTTTTGCACTGACAATAGCTGAGGGAAGCATAAGCACCAACCTGACTATAGCAATTTAAAATTAGGCAGTAATTCAGGCTCCCAGAGTACCTAACTGATACTGATATAAATATCGAATCCATGCTGTGCTGAATGAAGCAACATACACTTAGTAACAAAAAAGATTTGTTTTCACCTCACTGCTGTAAGTCAGGATTCCAAAATGATGAAGCATTGAAAAGGCACTTCCTCAAGTCACCTCACATGGAGGCTGGACTTGTAGACCATTTAATTGATATAGCCAGCTGAGCAGTTTCTGTCATGAATTACCAGTGCAGCTTGGCTTTTTTGAGGCTGCTGTGTTTTATTTTTATGTGATCGTGCTCACCTAAAATGCTTCCAGCCTACTTTTGCTTGCTGAAGGGTCTAGATTTTTGGTAAGTCCGTTATTATTAACATGCCTGGAATCCATATATTTAATAAACATCTGTAGCTTAAAGCAGGGCCAATTTTGTCTCTCAGTTGTCTTACACAGTTCACATTTTCTCTTTTATTTGTGATTTCAAGTGAAGACTTCAGTGGTAACTGTAATGGTTTGCTTGCTTACCGTACCTGCAGGATCATAAGGATAAATCACTGTGTTTGAGGGCACTGGGCCAGCTTGGCCTTTTAGCCAAATGGAGGAATAAGCAGCAACTTCTTTTCATGGAGTTTATTCCTTGTTTCACTGCAGACAATTTAATTAACAGGATTGTCAGAGGTTAAATGGGAGAAGTCTTGTTAAAAAAAGCAGTGGCAAGCAAATCTGCATGATTGTAGAGACTGGGAAGTGGGTTCAGGGGGGAATTATCACCAGCCTGAGCTGTTGTAAACTCTACACCTTTGCTTAGTGAAATCCAGCTGAAAATTTGTAATTTGCCTGGCATATTAGATATGATTCCCAGCAACCAGAATGCTGTCCTAGTTGATTTTCAGAGGACTAGTAATTTCCATCACACATGAAAGACAAGCTGCTTTTGTACACTCTGCAGAGCAGGGCCTGAACTGGAACCTGAGATAATTTTCTGGGATTCCATGAGTGTTCTCCTTTGTTTTCTTTTGATTGATGCTTGAACAGGGAGAGACAGATGTATGGAAAGGCTCAGCTTGTGTAGGAGCAATCTGAGTGAATAATGCAGCAGTGCACTTGACGCAGAAGACAAAGGCTCTCCTCGCTGCTGCTCCCTTACTGCCCTCGCTATGGCTCACGGAAAGCAATCTGTTTCAGAATGCGCCTGTGTCGTCTTTTTTTTTTTTTTTCTTTTTTTTCTTTTTGTCCTTCTTTGATTGCTCTCTGAAGAAGTGCTGGTCTAACCTATGAGTGGGATGGTCAAAGTCACTTGTTTGTCACAGAAACAAAGCTCCTGTCATTTAGTAGTGGCAAGTATTGTATGTACATGGACCTGATGCAGAGATCTACCCTTGACGGACAGCAAACCAGACTTGCTGAAGGCAGTACAGAGGGTATGTGTTGAACTAGGTGTTTAATAATTCTTTTCTGTGTCCCAAACAGCAAGGAGAAGTTGGTACTCTGGAAAAGGGGAAGAAT